ACTTTGTTATATACCCTTTGTTGGCAATGACACAGGTCAAACGTTTTCTGTAAGTCTTCATAAGGTTTTCACACACTGTTGCTGGTATTTTGGCCCATTCCTCCATGCAGATCTCCTCTAGAGCAGTGATGTTTTGGGGCTGTCGCTGGGCAACACAGACTTTCAACTCCCTCCAAAGATTTTCTATGGGGTTGGGATCTGGAGACTGGCTAGGCCACTCCAGGACCTTGAAATGCTTCTTACGAAGCCACTCCTTCGTTGCCCGGGCGGTGTGTTTGGGATCATTGTCATGCTGAAAGACCCAGCCACGTTTCATCTTCAATGCCCTTGCTGATGGAAGGAGGATTTCACTCAAAATCTCACGATACATGGCCCCATTCATTCTTTCCTTTACACAGATTAGTCGTCCTGGTCCCTTTGCAGAAAAACAGCCCCAAAGCATGATGTTTCCAACCCCATGCTTCACAGTAGGTATGGTGTTCTTTGGATGCAACTCAGCATTCTTTGTCCTCCAAACATGACGAGTTGAGTTTTTACCAAAAAGTTCTATTTTGGTTTCATCTGACCGTATGACATTCTCCCAATCCTCTTCTGGATCATCCAAATGCACTTCAGACGGGCCTGGACATGTACTGGCTTAAGCAGGGGGACACGTCTCGCACTGCAGGATTTGAGTCCCTGGCGGCGTAGTGTGTTCCTGATGGTAGGCTTTGTTACTTTGGTCCCAGCTCTCTGCAGGTCATTCACTAGGTCCCCCCGTGTGGTTCTGGGATTTTTGCTCACCGTTCTTGTGATCATTTTGACCCCACGGGGTGAGATCTTGCGTGGAGCCCCAGATCGAGGGAGATTATCAGTGGTCTTGTATGTCTTCCATTTCCTAATAATTGCTCCCACAGTTGATTTCTTCAAACCAAGCTGCTTACCTATTGCAGATTCAGTCTTCCCAGCCTGGTGCAGGTCTACAATTTTGTTTCTGGTGTCCTTTGACAGCTCTTTGGTCTTGGCCATTGTGGAGTTTGGAGTGTGACTGTTTGAGGTTGTGGACAGGTGTCTTTTATACTGATAACAAGTTCAAACAGGTGCCATTAATACAGGTAACGAGTGGAGGACAGAGGAGCCTCTTAAAGAAGAAGTTACAGGTCTGTGAGAGCCAGAAATCTTGCTTGTTTGTAGGTGACCAAATACTTATTTTCCACCATAATTTGCAAATAAATTCATTAAAAATCCTACAATGGGATTTTCTGGAAAAAAAATTCTCAATTTGTCTGTCATAGTTGACGTGTACCTATGATGAAAATTACAGGCCTCTCTCATCTTTTTAAGTGGGAGAACTTGCACAATTGGTGGCCGACTAAATACTTTTTTTCCCCACTGTATGTGTGAAGATAGTTTATTAACCACACCTGTATGTCAGAGGTTTTGTGCCCCACAGGTGAACTAAAGGAGAAGGTGACCCACTCTATCACACCAGGAGACTGGGTGTGGATCCAGTCCCTAAAAGAAGAAAAACTGGAAGCAGGCCTGTTGGGAAGGGCCCTATCAAGTCCTATTAGATCCATCTGGGTGCATGTCACACACTGCAAAAAGGTAAACCCAGTTACACCTGATGAACAAACACAGAGTTAGGAGAAAGATCCGATCACCATTAGGGCTCGGGGGTTGGCTCCTTAACGAAGATTCCCTTACCCTGTCTGATCATCCCTGTGTGAGTTTGGTAGAAGGTGAAGTAATGGGTTGACGTCTGACATGTTCTCAGGGCAAGGGTGGGGATTCACAGGTCTCCTGACGGTAGGTAGCTGTCTGATTGTGGGGGCCATATTCCTAACACACTCAAACCCTTCTGATCAGCCGAAAGTAGTAGTTAACAAGTTGATAAAATAATACCTGAGCACAGTATACGAAGGCATAGGAGACAGCTAGACGTAGGGAAAGGGGAAGATTAGGGACTTTAGGGGAGGACATCACTATATGTATGTCACCATGTACATCCTGGGACTATGTAGCTGCTCATATCGAGAGTGTGGGGGATATGTAAATCTCCATACACAGTTTGGGGACAGGTGTAGTGTTGTGAGGGTAGGGAATTACCAGAAATGGCAGTGCGACCCATAGAAGGGTAGGTACTGTCTGAAAGTCTGAAGTACGCAAAAACAGGTTACAGACCTGACAAGTGAGATATCCTCTTCAACTGGGGCATCCTATAGAGTAAACCTCTCTGAGGGAGGTAGTGAGATAGTGCAACCTATAGACCTGAAGAAAGTAGGACAGGTGGAGACGGGGTGTAGGAATCTTGACCGGTGGTTGGAATGGATTTAGTATACGGCAAGAACTATGTCTAAAGAGGACTGTTATGCCTGTGGGACAGCCAAACCAAGGTTAACAACTACTCCGTTCCCCTTGACAGGCTTTGACTCTCTGTCAGGTTTATCCTCCATAGAAGCCACCTGGGAATGTGGTGAAAGAGTCTTGTAGTAACTTGAACTATCTGTATCCCCCGATAACAAAGTAATTCCGACCTAGGTTGCCTACGTTTGAAGTCTCAGGGGATTCTAATTGTTTTTCTAGGACTAGTAAGATAGGATACAGAGTAGGGCATCTTAGCTCTGCTCCTACACAGAGAATATCACAACTGAAAGAGAACATGACTAATCTCTCCTCTTTGTTGCAGCCAGAGGATTGTAGGAACTAAAACCAGGCCCGTGCTGACATCTGATGGTTGTGTGGTGATAACTGATTGTGAACTCAACTACATATGTAAACAATCAAACGTGTCAGAGACTGGTGAGTTGTCACGTAGAAAGTAGGACCTCCTCCCGGGATCCTTTGATGAAAGGATCCTGTGATGGGATAGGAGTACCTCGAGAGGTTCCAGAACAATTCAAAGCTAGGAATCAGATCGCAGTTGAGTTTGAATCAAGTATTTTTTGGTGGGCAACAATTAATAAAAACATAGATTGGATAAATTATATTTACTAAAACCAGCAAAGATTTATAAACCACACTTGTGATGCAATAAAGGGATTAGATAAGCAGACAGCGGCAACTATCTTAATGACAAGGCAGAATAGAATAGCTTTAGATATGCTTTTGGCTGAGAGGGGCGGAGTTTGTGTTCTGTTTGGATCTATGTGCTGTATTTTCATCCTCAAACAATATAGCACCGGACGGGTCAGTGACAAAAGAGCTTCAGGGGAGTAACTACACTGACGAACAAACTGGCTGAGAGATCTGGTGTTGATAGCTCCATAAACGGTTGGATTGATAACATATTTGATAAATGGAAAACTATTGTTGTAACTATTCTGGGTGAAGTTATAGCTTCTATGGGTATACTTGTTCTTTGTGGATGTTGTCTTATTTCCTGTGTCTGAGGTTTGGTGAGAAAGGAGATGGAGAAGTGATTTCCCAACAGATGGTGAGATATGGCCCAATCCTGGACTCCAACCTAGGAATGGAGGATATGACCTACCAGGCTTGGTGGAGTGACACTAGAGGGTGTCTAAAGGGGGCCAAAATATACTTCTCTGTTTGTGTTTTATGTTTTAATAGTCTTATGTTTTGTGTTCTATTAATCCTGTGTTTTATGCTTTATTAATCAAGTTAATCATGTGAATGTTTGTCTTTTCTTATGTGATGTTTTGAAGTTCCTTGGTGACTGGTAACAATTTGCAAGTGGGGTGTAGATGGACTGAGGGTTTTAATTTTTTAGTATCATTATGGCCTATTAATAAAAGTGTGATTTTTTGTTTGCATTGTATTATAATGAATGACAATCTGTGTTTTCTTATTTTTTGAATCACACCTTATTAGGTGTGAAAAGGTGGATTATTGGGGATTTATTATTCTCCTAAATTGATGGGATGACTAACTTAGAAAGAATGCAGTCTTGACTGGGCTAATGTAGGCTGTGACACCTGGCAAGGCTGTGATTGATGTGAAGAGCTGTTTTAGGGGGTAAAATAAGATAAGGATTGTGTCTTCAAATGCTAGACTATAATAGTTCTTTGTGATCTGTGAGCCTTCCTTGGACATAGGAATGATGTCTAAGGGAGCTGGCTCTTCTCACTATGATAGGTTGTTATGATAATCTTGTGCCTGGCTGAAGTGTGCAACAAATGGCGCCGAGGAGATGAGACCAACCCCTGAACCAACGGATTGGCTGAGAAAGTTTAAACCACACTCAGTCCTCTACTCTAATTGGCCAGCAGAGAAGTGGGAAATTCCCTCTGTCAGAGTATTTGAGTATTGAATCTGAAACAATGTGTTAGTTGTCTGGAGTGTCCTGCGAGACATCTCAGAGAGCCCATATATACGAAACATCATATTTACCATTGAAGGTTTTTGCATTAATTAAAATAACTAGTATATCTTAGAAGTCGTGTTGACCTCTTTTGTTCCTAATACCAGATTTGAATTGACGCAATTTCTAACACAGTACAGATGGATAAACCAACAACTGATATATGTTTCAGTAAGATTGGATTTTTAGCATTTATAGCAATGGTTATCAACTGTACTGCAGGGATGGAATATAAGTCTCCGAAATTTAGGTTGTGGTGGGAGCTGCAGAGAGGTATTTGGGTGTGCGAGACTTGACATCAGAAGAGTTACAGGGTGTGTTAAGTGGTGGTGTCCCATCCTTTCAGGTTGTTGGCCTGAGGTAGGACTAAATAGATTGAAATAGTTGAGTAGGGTGGTGTTGTTATTAAAAAAAAAAATTGTGAGTGTAGTGTTAGATGGTAGGGTATTTAAAAATTTTTAAAGCAAAGTTTAAGGGAGTTGTACTCCAGTCTAGTAGGTGGCGGTAATGCAACATTTATTGAATGCCAACTGCCGTTAAACCTCATCGAAGAAGGTCACTAGCGGCCTCTATGGTCACGTGTCCGTATAGCCTCCCGGACAGAATAAGAAAGTGGGCGGGTTTAGTCGTCTTCTGTTGTGTATGTTAGCTTCAGTTAGCAAAGAAGATAGCCAAGGTGGCTTAACTTTATGATTTTATAATGTTTCAACTTCACTTTGCACGTGGATTACGTACTGGTATTTCGCAAACGTTTAGTATCCAACTTGCTGCCCTCCGAATTGTGAGGCCTGCTACTTACGCGTCCCAAGAGCAATTGTATCACACTGTCGAAAGGTCGTTTCTCAACAATGCGTCTAACGAGGTATTTGGCTTTATACTGTCCTCTCACATTTATCAGCTAGATAACACTACTTCCATTCAAGGAATAGATGTCCTATTAGCGATTATGTCATGTTCACTAGCTAGCTAGCTAGTTATTGGCTCTGCGTTCGATAGTGCTGCAATTTATAAATTATGTCTGATTTCTTGCTCTGCAGATTAGCCTGGTTGTACAGGCAAGTACGTTAACTTTAAAAAATGCATTAGGTATTCAATTAATCTCTACAACTCCCATGCATGATTGGATAATGCAATATCATAACCAATTCTTCAAGATCTCATTCTAAAAAGTAATTCATGAATGGAGGTTATTTTAAACGGATACATTATTTGTTATAAATTGTAGCATACATTGAATGGAAATAAATAGTTTCACATTTGTGTCCGTCTCTGCCCAGGTACAGTTAACCTCTATACAGCGGATGGTCCGCAGCTTCTGTACATCCTCCACCTGCCACTCTGAAGAGGGGAAGCTGATCTATTCAGGGAACCTCGGCAACGCTGTTCGAGGTATTACGTTATTACCCTCATCTCATTATCACCACCATCATCAACATCGTTGATATAATTGCATAACTAAACATAAATTGCACCTTTTAATAATACTGTATTTTCTGTCTGTTTGTTGCAGGGGTGAAGATGTTCTCCTACACCAGTAGCGGGGCCAGCCTGTGCGTGATGCCATACATACTTCTGAAGACGGGCATCAGCGTTCATGGTCTGGTGCTGAAAGGTGCCTTCTGCGGTGTCATCGGTTTCTTTACATTCCTGACTCCCATCCTCCTCCACATCATCACCAAAGGCTACGTGGTCCGCCTGTACCACAACCAGGACACTGACACGTACACAGCTGTCACTTACAATGTCCTCCTGATGGAGAAAAAGACTGTGTTCCGTCAGAGTGAGGTCAAGATACCGGGTGTCAGCAAAATGTTCACCACATTCTATGCCGACAAGAAGTCGATGCTTGTGAACCCGATGCTGTTCCCACTTCCTCATGACTATAACCACCTCATGGGTTACGACCAGCCCTTTTCATTTGATACGGAAGACTTGGATGGTAATCCAAATAAAAGTTAATTGATTTGTACAGATAATGCCAATGGCAGTCAACTGCTGTATGGAATGGTTGTGCGTGTGTGTGTGTATATGTACGACTAACTTAAAGTGTAGTCACAATAGCATATTAAAGAGAAGACCATTGAAATGTTGGTGACTAGGAAAAGGTAATGTACAGATGTAGAGGAGTATTATGGAGAAAAAAAGGTTTTGAACAAAGCTTATGGAAAAGTACATTTCACCTCTGACATGACTGTGGTTTGAGTGGTAATGTCCCTTTCTTCTGCTGCAGAGTAACACTGCCAGTATTCTGTTGGAAAAATGACAAGATCCTACTCATTGTTTGGGCACTGTCGAGCAGTTTGTATATTGCATGAAAACAGGAGACCGGCAGTCAGTCAAACCATTGCTGAGTATCTATCAATTTCAGTTGCAATAAATTTACATTTTACATAATTACCATGATGTTTCAAATCCTGGGTATTGTTTTAAGTGTTTTGGCTGCTTGTGGACAGAGAAGATTACTTTGCTCTTCAGAAAGTATCGAACCCTGGTATACTTGGCATGGTAGGACAGCCCTTTCTATTTACTTATCTAGTGTGACCAAATAGAGAAGAATGTAAAACTTTTTATACAGAATTTTATCAGAACGTTTTAGATAAAGGTAGTATATTGCTGTTACTAGATAGGAAATACCAGAACTACTAGGTGTCTGGAAATTGTGTTTGCTGTATTTAATCTGACGCTCTTTTACCAGGGGCAATGTATGATTTTTCTATGACAATGTCACCCTGCAGCAATGGAATGTAGTTACCTACTCAGTGATTTCAAGTGAGAATTTAAGTTGATTTAATTTTCAATACACATTGTAAACACTCTCTAGTCTTGTTGCATTCTTGACAGTTCAATCAGCCTTGGACCTTACCCATAGCTAACACACAATATCCTTTATTTTAACTTTCAGTGTTTCAGTTGAGCCACATTGGTTTCAAGGTATGTGTCCGGTATAACAATTGGAAGTACCTAGAATTTTCCAAGACTGATTACTTTTGCCGGGATCTGAAAATATGTAACATTCTCAAAGGAGGTATGTATCAGAAATACTAAGATTTATATTGATCATTTATTCCAGCTTTTAGAAATGGTATACTGTTTAACTTCTGGTGATTGCGTGTGAGTAACAGATACTGTAGATCTATACCTCTTTGCAGAATCCCTACATGGTACCATTCCCTTTTATCTCAGGGCCTATGATGGGTTCCCAAAAGTGAGTACAGTTCTTACTGTGGAAAACCACATTCTGTGTATTGTAAAAATATACAGTCGGGTCCAAAATGATTGGCACCCTTGATAAAAAAAAAAGACTGTATAAAATAAATATGACAAATACTGAGCTACAGAGGCTTGCGAAAGTATTCGTCCCCCTTGGCATTTTTCCTATTTTGTTGCCTTACAACCTGTAATTTAAATGGATTTTTATTTGCATTTCATGTAATGGACATACACAAAATAGTCCAAATTGGTGGTGGGATGATAAAAATAACTTGTTTCAAAAAATTCTAAAAAATAAATAACGGAAAACTGGTGCGTGCATATGTATTCACCCCCTTTGCTATGAAGCCCCTAAATAAGATCTGGTGCAACCAATTACCTTCAGAAGTCACATAATTAGTTAAATAAAGTCCACCAGTGTGCATTCTAAGTGTCACATGATCTCAGTATACAGGTGCAGCTCAATAAATTTGAATATTGTGGAAAAGTTAAGTAATTTCAATAATTCAGTTGACAAAGTGAAACTCATATCGTGGATTAATTACACAAAAAGTGAAATAGTTCAAGCCTGTATTTGTTTTAATCTTGATGATTACAGCTTACAGCTCATGAAAACCCCAAATTCAGTATCTCAGAAAATTAGAAAAATGTGAATATGACATAAGACCAGTGAAAAAAGGAACTTTAATACAGACATGTCAGCCTTCTGAAAAGTATGTTCTTGTACATGCAGTCAGTACTTGGTTGCGGCACCTTTTGCATGAATCACTGCATCTATGCGGCGTGGCATGGAGTCGATCAGCCTGTGGCACTGCTGAGGCGTTATGGAAGCCCAGGTTGCTTCGATAGCGGCCTTCAGCTCGTCTGCATTGTTGGGTCTCGTGTCTCATCTTCCTCTTGACAATACCCCATAAATTCTCTATGGGGTTCAGATCAGGCGAGTTTGCTGGCCAATCAAGCACAGTAATCCCATGGTCATTGAACCAGGTATTGCTACCTTTGGCAGTGTGGGCAGGTGCCAAGTCCTGCTGGAAAATGAAATCAGCATCTCCATAAAGCTTGTCAGCAGAAGGAAGCATGAAGTGCCCTAACATTTCCTGGTAGACGGCTGAGTTGACTTTGGACTTGATGAAACACAGTGGACCAACACCAGAAGATGACATGGCTCCCCAAATCATCACTGACTGTGGAAACTTCACACTGGACTTCAAGCAACTTGGATTATGTGCCTCTCCACTCTTTCTCCAGACTCTGGGACCTTGATTGCCAAATGAAATGCAAAATTTACATTAATCTGAAAAGAGGACTTTGGACAACTGAGCAACAGACCAGTTATTTTTCTCCTTAGCCCAGGTAAGAAGTTTCTGACGTTGTCTCTGGTTCAGGAGTGGCTTGACACAAGGAATGCGACAGTTGTAGCCCATTTCCTGGATACGTCTGTGCGTGGTGGCTCTTGATGCACTGACTCCTGCCTCGGTCCACTCCTTGTGAAGCTCCCCCACATTTTTGAATGGCCTTTGCTTGACAATCCTCTCAAGGCTCCGGTTATCCCTGTTGCTTGTGCACCTTTTCCTACCACACTTCTTCCTTCCACTCGACTTACCATGAATATGCTTGGATACAGCACTCTGTGAACAGCCAGCTTCTTTAGCAATGATCTTTTGAGGCTTTCCCTCCTTGTGGAGGGTGTTGATGACTGTCTTCTGCACAACTGTCAAGTCAGCAGTCTTCCCCATGATTGTGAAGCATACTGAACTGGACTGAGAGACCATTTAAAGGCTCAGGAAACCTTTGCAGGTGTTTTGAGTTAGTTAGCTGATTAGAGTGTGACACCTTGAGTCTACAATATTGAACCTTTTCACAATATTCTAATTTTCTGAGATACTAAATTTTGTGTTTTCATGAGCTGTAAGCCGTAATCATCAAGATTAAACAAATACAGGCTTGAACTATTTCACTTTTTGTGTAATTAATCCACGATATATATGAGTTTCATTTTGTCAATTGAATTATTGAAATTACTTAACTTTTCCACAATATTCTAATGTATTGAGCTGCACCTGTATATACACGTGTTCTTAAAGGCCCCAGAGTCTGCAACACCACTTAGCAAGGGGCACCACCAAGAAAAGCGTCACCAGGAAGACCAATGACCTCTCCAAACAGGTCAGGGACAAAGTTGTGGAGAAGTACAGATCAGGGTTGGGTTATAAAAAATATCTGAAACTTTGAACATCCCACGGAGCATCATCAAATCCATTATTAAAAAATGGAAAGAATATGGCACCACAACAAACCTGCCAAGAGAGGGCCACCCACCAAAACTCACGAACCAGGCAACGGGGTGCATTAATCAGAGAGGCAACAAAGAGACCAAAGATAACCCTGAAGGAGCTGCAAAGCTCCACAGCAGAGATTGGAGTATCTGTCCATAGGACTACTTTAAGCCGTACACTCCACAGAGCAGGGCTTTACGGAAGAGTGGCCAGAAAAAAGCCATTGCTTAAAGAAAAAAATAAGCAAACATGTTTGGTGTTTGCCAAAAGGCATGTGGGAGACTCCCCAAACATATGGAAGAAGGTACTCTGGTCAGATGACACTAAAATGTATATTTTTGGCCATCAAGGAAAACACTATGTCTGGCGCAAACCCAACACCTCTCATCACCCTGAGAACACCATCCCCACAGTGAAGCATGGTGGTGGCAGCATCATGCTGTGGGGATGTTTTTCATCGGCAGGGACTGGGAAACGGGTCAAATTGAAGGAATGATGGATGGCGCTAAATACAGGGAAATTCTTGAGGGAAACCTGTTTCAGTCTTCCAGCGATTTGAGTCAGGGACAGAGGTTCACCTTCCAGCAGGACAATGACCCTAAGCATACTGCTAAAGCAACACTCAAGTGGTTTAACTGTCTTGGAATGGCCTAGTCAAAGCCCAGACCTCAATCCAATTGAGAATCTGTGGTATGACTTAAAGATCCATCACCATATTTTACAGTAGGTATGGGGTTCTTTTCTGAGTATGCATCTTTCTTTCGATGCAAAACCCACCACTGTTGTGTGTGGCCAAAGAGCTCTATTTTCATGTAATCTGTTGATAGCACTGGTTCCAATCCAAGTGCCAAGGCCATTTAGCAAACTACAGGTGTTTACATTTGTTGGATGACATGAAAATAGAGCTCTTTGGCCATGCACACCAGTGTTGGGTTTTGCCTCAAAACAAAGATGCATATGCAGAACATAACCCCATAAAATAATAAAATAATATAATAATTAAATAAAAATGTGCATACAATATAGCTCATTATTTGTATTATTTATTTTATAGTCTTTTTTGCTCATCTTTGTCAAGGGTGCCAATATTTTTTGACCTGACTGTACATATTTTCTCAGACACAAATAGCTTTGCCTCCATGGTTAGTTACCCTCCCACGGTACACCTCCCTGTGAAGGGTTTTGAGACATGTTATTAATAAGAATGTGAGTTATTAATATGTTGTCCCATTATCTTGTCTCATTACAGGTGAATTATGAGGTTTTCTTCGAACTGTGGAATTTAGACGACACCCAAACTGTGAAAAACTTTTGCGTCCAGCAAAGCTTTTAAAATACTACTTCATTACAATGTATGCTATTCCTGATCAGAGACAACTAAGACAAAGTAACTCAAGCTTTCAAAGTTTCTAATTTTGCAAATCCAACCTAACATGCCAACAAACGTCATATACTTGTGTCAGGATATTTAGTCAATAATATTTGTGATGACTAAATCCACTAGGGTGCACTGTAAGTCCAGTGAAAGGAGTGAAAAGAGAAACAAGCCAGTGTGGTATCCCATAGTCATGAAACAAACAACAAAATATCTTATAGGACTATTTAGCTATGGAATTAGTCATTCAGGAAATGTAATCTTGTTTCATTCAAAAATGGCCTTTTACTGTTAGGACAAATCGTGGCCATACAGTGCCTTCAGAAAGTATTCATACCCATTTACTTTTTTGTTCTTTTTTTCACCCATCTACACACAATACCCCATAATGACAAAGTGAAAACATGTTTTTAGAAATTTTAGCAAATGTATTGAAAATGAAATACAGAAATGTCTAATTTACATAAGTATTCACGACCCTGAGTCAATACATGTTAGAATCACCTTTGGCAGCGATTATAGCTGTGAGTCTTTCTGGGTAAGTCTCTAGGCTTTGCACACCTGGATTGTACAATATTTGCACATGATTCTTTTAAAAATTCTTCAAGCTCTGTCAAGTTGGTTGTTGATCATTGCTGAACAGACATTTTCAAGTCTTGCCATAGATTTTCAAGCCGATTTAAGTCAAAACTGTAACTAAGCCACTCAGGAACATTCAATGTTGTCTTGGTAAGCAACTCCAGTGTATAGTTGGCCTTGTGATTTAGGTTATTGTCATGCTGAAAGGTGAATTCATCTCCCAGTGTCTGGTGGAAAGCAGACTGAACCAGGTTTTCCTCTAGGATTTTGCCTGTGCTTTGCTCCATTCCGTTTCTTTTTTATCCTGAAAGACTCCCCAGTCCTTAAAGATTACAAGCATACCCATAACATAATGCAGCCACCACTATGCTTGAAA